CACAACAGGGGCGGATCCAGACGGATAATATGACTGTCTTACAACAGAAGTACGGGGGTCCGGGGGCGTGGCCCCCGGGAGAATTTTTGGGAGCCACGCCCTCTACATCTTTGGAAACAGCTATGTTCAAGAAGATTGCTAAGGAAACGCCCTTGATTATATTATAAAAAATATTGAAGGTGTACTCACTTTGATGTTTAAACTATAGCCAACATATCATATACATTTGGCAGATTAAATTCATCGTTTTCACAATCTACCATTATATCTTTATCGAAGTCGAAATCCATTGCAGAAAATGTAAGATTTCGTCTTCCAGACAAGAGCAACTTGAGATAATACAACAATTTCTGTGAAAATCGTCTTTCATCAGCTTTGCGTCTTCCAGACAAGAGCAACTTGGAATAATACAACAATTTCTGTGAAAATCGTCTTTCATCAGCTTCTCCTCCAGACAATTCCAATCATCCTTACATATATTGCGCTGTTGCAAATTCCACCATGGAGGCAGTAATTTGCTTTCGAAGGTGCAGGGCACTCTGAGGCATATGATATAGCAGAAGATAGCTAGCAACATGAGACAAAGACGAGAAAAACAAAGCAGAAACACCAATTCCGTCCCAATCATGATCAAAGAGTGCATATCAACCTCATTGGGCGAAGAGGAGATAATAGCAAACCATGACTTGAAAAAATCTAAAGACTAACTTGACTGCAAACGGCGAGGAACAATAAATAAAAGTATAAGAAATATCAGGTTACTGTTCATGGCTGGTGAAGAACAACTTGACTGCTAACGGCGAGAAACAATAATTATAAGTATAAGAAATATCAGGATACTGTTCATGGCTGACGAAGAACAACTTGACTGCAAACGGCGAGGAACAATAATTATAAGTATATTTCGATCCACAACTGGGTATATATTTTCCATTGTGTTCGTTCGGACACATATTCTGACGTCTTATATTCTGAGGAGTGTCAGACCAAAAGGCTTTAAATAGTATGTTGTGAAATGTTTGCTTTTTTCAAAGCCATTTTCAAGTTCTGTACCGCCAAAAAATTGATCAAATTATCAGGTTTCTGTTCATGGCTGGTGAAGAAAAACTTGACTGCTAACGGCGAGAAACAATAATTATAAGTATAAGAAATATCAGGATACTGTTCATGGCTGACGAAGAACAACTTGACTGCAAACGGCGAGGAACAATAATTATAAGTATATTTCGATCCACAACTGGGTATATATTTTCCATTGTGTTCGTTCGGACACATATTCTGACGTCTTATATTCTGAGGAGTGTCAGACCAAAAGGCTTTAAATAGTATGTTGTGAAATGTTTGCTTTTTTCAAAGCCATTTTCAAGTTCTGTACCGCCAAAAAATTGATCAAATTATCAGGTTTCTGTTCATGGCTGGTGAAGAAAAACTTGACTGCTAACGGCGAGAAACAATAATTATAAGTATATTTTGATCCACAACTGGGTATATATTTTCCATCGTGTTCGTTCGGACACATATTCTGACGTCTTATATTCTGAGGAGTGTCAGACCAAAAGGCTTTAAATAGTATGTTGTGAAATGTTTGCTTTTTTCAAAGCCATTTTCAAGTTCTGTACCGCCAAAAAATTGATCAAATTATCAGGTTTCTGTTCATGGCTGGTGAAGAAAAACTTGACTGCTAACGGCGAGAAACAATAATTATAAGTATAAGAAATATCAGGATACTGTTCATGG